ACTGACCTGATAAGATTTCCCTCCTTTCTGAACACTGGCCAGGCCAATGATGGGTTTGCAGTTCTCGAGGGCCTTCTGGAAGATGGTGTATGGATTGCACTCGATCTCTAGTCTCTTGGCTGCAGGAGATCTGTGGTATTTCTCCACCTGTTTTCTCTTTATAGTCTCCAGCGTCTAAACGGACACAAAACATCCAAGCAGAAGTTACGTCGAGACTCATTTCAGGTAGTGTATTGAGATATTTTACAAGTGTATGCTAGCATAAATTTGGAGTATACATTTTTTGTAAACTACTCATGCTCAAGGCTGCATTTTATTATTAAAAAAAAAAAGAAAAACAAGAATAGTGAAATATTATTACAATTTAAAATAACTTTTTTTTATTATTATTATATTGTAAAATGTAATTTATTCCTGTGATGCAAAGCTGAATTTTCAGCATCATTACTCCAGTCTTCAGTGTCACATGATCCTTCAGAAATCAGTATAATATGCTGATTTGCTTAATTATTATCAATTATTGTTGTGCTCACTTATCAATAATGGTTTGTATTATTATTATTATTATTAGTGTTTTGCTGCTTTAAAATGTATCATACATAAATATTTTCAAGATTGTTTGATGAATAGAAAGCATTTATTTGAAACGGAAATCTTTTGCAGCATTATAAATGCTATTTCTGATCAATTTAATGCATCTTTGCCGAATGTTTTTTTGTTACTTACTTACCCTGAACTTTTAAATAGTAATGGATCACAGTTTCCACAAAAAAAACGAAGCAGCACAACTGTTTTTAACATTGATAATAAATGCTTCTTAAGCACCAAATCATCATATTAGACTGATTTCTGAAGAATCATGTGACACACAAACACACACAACTGAAGACTGGAGTAATGATGCTGAAAATTCAGCTTTACTATCAAAGGAATAGATTTTTATTTTAAAATGTATTTAAATAGAAAAATTATATTACATTTTCATAATATTTCACAATATTACATTTTTACTGCGTTTTTTTTTTTTTTTGGTCAAATAAAAGCAGCCTTGGTGAACAGGAGAGACTTGTTTAAAACAAAAACAAAAAAAAAACTTAAAAATAGTAATTATTCCAAACTTTTGACCGCCAGCGTGTATATAATGAGATTTGATTCAAACCTGTGTCATGATTCCTCTAGCAAGGATTTTGTTGCCATCTTGCATCATCATGTTGATGAACTTGCTGTTAAAGGAAAGCAGATGATCAGTGCTATGAAGGATCCATATACTGTGGGGTCCAAAAGAAGTGGGACCACGAGTGAAAATATATATTTTTTTAATTACAGCAAATTACGCTAACGTTATAACAAAAGCATAATCTGAGTGAATAATCTACATGATTTTCTTAGTTAAATTATTTTGAATTCTATATTTTCAATGTGGCTTTTGGACCCCACTGTTTATAGTCATAGAGCTTTGATTAGACTAACATTTACTGCAGTTGGTTGAGCTCTTTTTGTTTTTACCTGATCAGAGGATCATTGAAAGGAGAGCTGGTGTCGCTGGACAGCGCAGCTTTTATCGGTCTCACCGTTTTCAGTTCCTGCAGCTCTTTTTGTTCAGGACTGAGCTCTGAATCTGGAACACGAGCATCTTTACTGGGATCAGGATCCAGATAGTATGGATTATACCGACTCCATCTCGCGAAACACAGACTGAGAGAAGATGCAGAGTAATAGACAAATGTTACCTAATAAACGTGTATTGCACAGTGAAAAATCCGTACAAACAGCAGCGTGAATTAGGAAACAAATTTGGCACATGGTTATGTTTGAACAGCATGAAATCAGCAATAAATGATGACTTGCACAGCAAAGCTGATGTGACTTAGACCTCATTTCAGATATTCTAGGCAAAAATAGGTACCGAAAAGTAGTCAAATGTACCTCGGTGTCCAAGGTTTCAGTAAATGTCTGACGGAGGCTGCCATCTTTAGACTGGTGTAACAGGTTTGTCTGAGATCAGCTTGGGTGACCAAACTCTTATATTCACTATTAGAGGAGAAACACAAACGCAGATCTCAGATCAGCCTTTAAACTCACTCTGACGCGACCGTGAAAGGACCTCCGCTGAAGAACGCGTCCTAAAATATTGCCTGAGTAAAATAATTGCACTAAATATTTGTTTTAAAATTAATATATTGCATCTTTACATTTTGCTCAGTGTCTAAATAATAGTTATTTACACTAAAAAGAATGACTAGGCAGTCGGTGAATTTTCTGTAGGCTAAACGTCCTTATACTCATATATTTGTACTGCGTCGTAGATTTATTCACCTTATTTAAAAAAAACAAACAAGCAATAATTTACACAAACTTCAAATACGCCAAATATTCGTAATGCTGTGTATTATTTCATCTATAATTTTAAAAACACTATTAATATTAACGAAAAGATCGAATAGCTCGTAAAAAAGCGAAAGCGAAAGTGTTTCTTTAGGCGTGTCCTCCCGTGACCCTCGTCGAAAAAGGCTCTCGTTTTCATGATCATTTATGATATAATGACAGTTTTGTCTAATTTTAATACATGATGGACATTACATGTATTTTTATGTCAATACTTATGATTGTCGCTGATGGTAAGTATTTTCACTTTACGTTTATCCGCGAAAATACCCTTCGAGATTTCCTTTTTTAACGCTTATTATTTATTTATTTATTTTAACGCATTAATCAATTTGTCTGTTTTTTGATAGGCTTCATTGTGCACGGTCCCGCTGGCCCTCTGGTTGCTCCTCTGGGATCTTCAGTGGTTTTGCTCTGTTATGTTGATGAACGCTTACTAATGGAAGGTCTGGAGGTGGAATGGAGAAGAACAGACTCAGAGGCTCTGGTTCATCTGTTTCTGGATGGTGAGAGTCGACCAGAGGCCCAGCAGCAGGATTATCATGATAGAGCTCATTTCTTTACTGATCAGATTCAACATGGAAACTTCTCCCTCCGTCTGGACAATCTGA